CTTTGGGCTTAATTGAAGTCCGATTTCGCGCAATTTCGTGAACTTCGTGTATTTTGTGTGTGTACGTGACGAAAAAGTCGTGACGAATGTTTTCCTAAGGCTTGAAGTCCTATTTGGAACATTTTCCTTGAATCTTCGCAAAATAGCCCATAACCGCTCGTTCATAAGGCGATAATCTTGTGTCAAAGATGCTAGACATCAAAGGAAAATAGGAAATTGGCTGGAATTTCTAGAAGGGTGAGTCTCAATTCTAGTTTTCTAAGATGGTCCATAGGAATTTCTAGAGCTAGAACCTAGGCTCTAAAGAGGAGAAGAAAAGACCTCACAAAAATGAGGTCAACATCCATTTTGATCGAAATGAAGGTTTTGGCAAAAAAGTACCCTGAGATGCTTCATATTAACTAGCATCATTTGCCAAAATAATCTATTGATGGCGATGATCATAGACAATGAGCATAAATTCTTAGAAATAAAAAATCAAGGAACTCTATCAAACTAAAGAAATTCACCTTAAATTAACCTTATTTCAAGTTCTATAAGGGCACATAGAAGCCATGATCAAGCTAATTTTGCACCTCTTAAAAAAGGAACATAGTAGCAAAAGGCACGTGAACTAAAGTATTGTCATTGTTTTATGAGCTTTGACAACAACACCATCCTTTACAACTGGCCAAACCCCCTTTGCATTGTCTTATTACATAGAAGCCCTACTTAAAATCAAATATGAACTACACAACCCACAAGTAGTTGCCTCAAACCATGTGCCATTTTCATTGATCTTTGACATAACCCATTTTATAAAATTCTCAGTGTATCAATTGCTTTAATATTCCCCAAGTCACCTCTTGATGGTTATTCATCTTCTTCAAATGAGCATCCCACCACGCTAAGGCATAATGGTTTAACCTTAGTTGGGCCAACATAATCTAGTCATGGGTTATATGTTCATACAAGATGAAGCCTTGGTTGATCCAAGCATCAAACTTCTTAGTATAAACTATCCCATAATGTACAGGATATTTCACTTGGTTTATATTTTAAATGGTCACGCCATTTTGTTATGAGCGGTAGCGATAACCTCATCTCCATTCTCTCCAACCAAATTAGTATTTGGCATGTAAGGAGGGAAGATACAACATGGTTCACTAGTTGCAAGTATAATTGTTTATATCATCATCCACTCCATCATGGTAGCAATTTTCTCCACTAATCTAGCCATTTGATCAACTAGAAAATGCATTCAATCATTTATTGGCTTTCTTTAGTATCTTTTCATGCCTCCCTTTTTTTATGTCAGACGTATCTCCAAAACATAAAGTTGATCTCTCTTATCATTATATCTCTTCTTTGCTTGAATCATTGGCAAGAGATCGATGCTTCGATGCCAACTCAATTTGTTTACTTTTTGTTCCTTCTTTCAATGTATAAATAAATTTCCTCTTTTTCTTTTGATTGAAAACATCAAGTATATTGATTGTTTTTCTCAAGTAGCATTAGGATGGTACTTGATTCCATGTAAATAGTCAACAACAACATGCAAGCAATGATTGTAAACAATGATATATGCTAGTATTAGCATATCATTTGCAACAAAAAATGATAAGCAATGAAAAGCAATGAGCTTCAATAAATAGTAGCAACACAAAGACAACAATGAAAAAGCATAACGACACAAGCGGATCAATTGGAGGCAATGACTTCAACGGTCCTAACATCGGCTTGTCTGTAGTAAAGAATGGAGGATTTAAAGGACTATAACTTATGAGTTAAGAGCGAGAATTGAATTTTAGATTAAAGTTCCGAGTTATAAAATAATTATCATACAATCCCAAATTATGAATTCAAAAACAAGCTTTCTTTTAAAAAAAAAAGTTAAAATATTCAAACTCATCATTGCCTTGCTATAATCTAAAATTTGACCCAACAGTCTATGTTTAATAGCCATGATATCCATCAATGGGGCTTAATAGATGAAATAATTGTGCCTATGAACTGCTGGAGACATCTTCGATCTCAATAATGTTATTTGAGAATCACCACTAATGAAATTTTTCATGGACAAATTGGATTATTTAAAGTGCAACAAACGCAATCGATTTGATATTCTCACAATCTGAAACTCAAATTGTAATCCTATGAGATATAATCTATTACCTACAAGATCTAATCCTCCTATAACTATGTAACAAAAGCAAATAAGTTTAATTGTGGATTCATAATTTAATTGTGCAATAAATTTTGTAGAATATTTTAACATTTTGGTATTGCTTTATGTACATTAAGATAAAAGCTTTTATTAGTTATAAGCTAAATGTCAGGTTCTTTGCGACATGCATTCCAAAGCATAAAAAACTCATTGCCCTTTATGTTAAAAATTCTGCTAAAAACAATAAAAAGAAACATCTAAGTGATAAATATCAAGCTCTTAAACCACAAAGCTTGTATAACTATTCCTAAGTTCCAAAGACTAGTAAAAATATCTAGTGTTACCATGCAAGATCATAATGAACAAAAACAGCACAAATCTACCACCCATAAACTTGTAAATGAAACATTGACTCACGGTACTGCCTCTAAGAATAACTCTATAAACCATTAATTGTATAATAAAAATTTCCAATAATTTGTAAATGAGCTATAATGAATTGACTCTTCTGCCACTTTATTATACCAAATAATAACTTTAAACATTTTTTCAATTAAAGGGGTTCAAGATTTATCGTTGGGATTTATTAAATCCAACCCAACATAAAAAAGTGCAAGTTCCATGGATTTATAAAAATTGGGATTTGAGGTCTGAATTTTAGCTTTAATTCATGCTAAATCCATATTTAATAAATGCAGCAATTAGGTGGATTTAATAAATCTGAATTTACTAAATTCTAACAACGCTAAATCTTTCATGCAGCCAAACACCCCTAGAGAAATCATATGGCACATCTACTTCGCAGGTGTGACAACATATTAGCATAAATGTAAGAGGAAGGATCAAAAGATCAAAACTTTTCATGACTAACCAGACCCAGCTGCAGTGATCGCCTGCCTATACTTCTTGTCCTGCACATCGCCAGCAGCAAAAACTCCTTTAACACTTGTCTGGGTAGTTCCTGGTTTTGTCACAATATAGCCATCTGAATCGAGCTCCAGCTGTTTTACAAGGAATTTCGTCGCCGGCTCATGTCCAATTGCAAAGAACAACCCAGACACCGCCAACTCGCTAATATCTCCAGTGGCAATATTCTTAAGTTTCACTCCACTAAGCGGTCCTCCGTCCTTGGCACCATAAGCCTCCACTACCTCCGAGTTCCATACCACCTCTATCTTAGGATTTCTCAATGCTCTTGCTTGCATGATCTTGGATGCCCTGAAAGTATCCCTGCGATGTAAAATGTAAACCCTAGATCCGTACTTGGTTAGGAAATTTGCCTCCTCCATGGCTGAGTCGCCGCCACCTACCACCGCAATGGGACGGTTACGGAAAATCGGGGCCGCGCCGTCACAGACTGCACAGGCTGAGATTCCCCTGTTCCATAACTCGTCGGCGCCAGGGAAGTAAAGACGACGAGCAACGGCTCCTGTGGCTACAATGACGGCGTCTGCCTCCACGACTGTGGAGGAAGAAACAACGCGGAAGGGACGGGAGGAGAAATCAACGGAAGTTACCGTCTCAGAGAGCACCTCGGTGCCAAATCGGACGGACTGCGCGCGACATCGGTCCATGAGCTCAAACCCTAGAATGCCCTCAGGGAAACCGGGGAAGTTCTCCACGTCGGTGGTCGTCGTAAGCTGGCCGCCGGCGGCGATGTCGTTGGCCATCCATCCCTCGAAGAGGACGGGCTTGAGCTCGGCGCGAGCGGCGTAAATAGCGGCGGGGGGGGGCGCGGGGGCGCGTGGGCCGCTGCCGATGATGCAGACACGGGTGCGGAAGGTCTTGGGAGCGTCACCCATGGCGGAGGATGAGGAACTTGCAGGAAGAGGGGCGGCCGATGCGGGGGAAACGGAGGCTGCTGTAGCAGCAGCAGCAACAGCACCGACAGCAGAAAAAGCGCGGGATTTCTTGAAGAAAGAGACGATCTTCGCGCAGAAACTCATGGGATTCAAGAAAAAAATAAAAAATAATTGAGATTTTGTAATTATTGAAGTTGTTTTCAAGTTAAATATCACATAAATTTTCATCAATAAAGCTTATGCTGTTAAAGTTTTAGAGTAAATTTAGTAATGATAAAATTCATATTAATTTAATTTGGTTAAATTGTTTTGATTTAATTTTTTTTAAAAGATATTACACAATATAGATTAGATTACTTCTATACCAGAAATTTGAGGATAAATCTCTCATAATAATAATACACTTTTCAATATGTGCTAAAGCTAACTTTTGGCAAAAAAATAATTTTAAAATTCTTGCATTTTTGACCAATTATATCCACTTGTAATATAGAAAATCATAGTCTTAGCTTTTCTACACAGATCATTACATTTTCAGTGGTAGTCATTATGAATTTATTTGATCTTTCATGTGAGCTTTTTTTTCTTAAAAGAAGAATAGAAGATCATTATTATTGACGTAAGGTCTTATATAGTTTGTGAATCCATACAAGAAATCTTGTAAGGTGAGTGCAGGGGTGAAAATGAGTAGAGGATTTTAGGTTACATGTGTTACCCTCAGATGGAACCCGTTCTCTTTTCCCTTCCCCCTTTATATAACTCTCAACGTTCTTTCCCTTATAGGGCTACACTAATATATATATATATATATATATATATAGAGAGAGACACACACACACACACACACACATATAATTTCATTTACTCATCACACTCAATGAATAATCTTATCATAAAAATTTATGTGCTTTGGAAGTATTGCTCTGAGGTTAAGAGATACTTGAAGGGTATGTCATACTAATGTAGTAATGGAGAGGCATATATGAGAGTGGAAATTATGACCTTGAAGCAAGGAAGTCTAATGGTAGATCATATAATCGTGTCCTGAAAGAGAGGCAACCCAAGTTTATTTACATTTTAAATCAATTTATTTAGCATAAGTCGTATGGCAGGCTATAGCTTACCATGGTTCTAATAGAAATGTTATGGTGTGGAACTAACCATCTCAATATTGAGAAGACATAAATGGGACTTATGATCCCACAATTCGAGGATGACCAATTGGTTGGCCTCATGACCGCACCCTATAATCGGGTGGCTCAGGTTTACTATTGTGTCAAATACATCTAGTTAACAAAAAATAAGTTATTCATTTTTTTTTTAGCCAAGCATGATATGGCAATTGAGTAGGTAAAATGATGAATTTGCTTTAGGAGGCCAAATTAGTGGAGTCTAATTACTTAAGTTGATTAAATTAGTTAAATTGAATTAATATGTATATTTGACATATTTTTAATGTATGCATAACACACCTAACTAACTTTAAAATTAGATTAACTCAATATTGACCCTGAATTAAGCTTAATAGTGGACTTATAAGACTTTAAATTGAGTATAGCCTTAATTGTGAGGTCTTAGCTCATAATGAGCCAATCAAATTATAACTTAACCACCTAGTCTATATGGAATTTACTACTCCCTTGAAAATAGATATATTGCTAAATCATGTTAAGCTTTTTATATAAATGCCTGCATGTACATTACTTTCCTCTTTTAATTTTTTGTGCTTCAGCTTGACAACTTGGCATCCAAGTCAGATTGTCTCAATAGTCCAAAATTAAAAGTGGTCAAAATAAGCTTTTGATTGCACCAAAAGGTAGTCTCATTGTAAAGGCCAGCAGGCCAAACAGAATATCAAATCAAGGACTAACATTACTAGTAGATGATCAAATTTTGGTCAATGTGAGTTTAACATGTTAAAGTTCTATATAACTCAATGAGTAAGAAGAAAGACATCAAATCATCCTATGGGTCGTTAGATTTGACTCACAACCCAATCTAGTCAGCCATACTCATTTATTCCAGCACCAAAAGTTAGTTTTTAATCCTAGCAAAGTGCTCAACAAACAAAGTGAGCATATTAAACAATCAAAAATTTATAATGGAGTGTCCGCAAATGGTTTCATGCAGAGAATTATGTTATCCAATGTAAAATTTGAGGTGAAGAAAATAAATGAAGCTAATAGATTTAGCATGTGGCAATATAAAGTCATAAATCTTTTATTTTGAAGAGGAACTCATAATTCCCTAAGAGTCTAAGCCTACGTGGCTGTCGAATGAAGATTGGAACCTCCTGAACCGTCAAGCTTGTAGAATAATTTGGCTGCTCTTAGAAGAAAATTGAAAGTATTTTATTATGAAGGAGACTTTGACAACATCTCGAAAAGAAATTAGGGAAGTACATGACAAAAAGTATAGATAATCAACTCTGCTTATTTCCAGTACAGAAAGGATACGTCGATGATTGGGCACTAGGATACTTCAACAAAATTCTCGCTTAAATATAGAATTTAGATGTTGACATCAGTGGATGGCATTGTTCTTATTGAATTCTTTGTCTAAAATCTAATCAAGTAAACAAAACTACTATATTGTAAAGAAGTGATCAATTCATTGATGTTTCTAATGTTTGACAAATAATGTTTATTGAAGGAATGATAATGTTGATTATAAAGAAATAAACATTGATGATATCAAGATGCGTGCTAAAAAAAAGAAATACGAAATCACCTGAAGTCAAAAGAAAAACTAACATAGAAACATTGTACAAAGGATGAATGTTGCACATTGTCATAAAAAAGGGCATTGAAGAACAATTATTTGAATAAAAACAAGTAAAAAAACCAAATTTGGTGAAAATTGATGATGAATAGGAATCAACATTTTAGTTACAAATTTATAAAGCTCGCCGACCAGGTGAATTTGAAATTTGAATGTTACTATTATATGTGTCAGAATCAGCATTAGTTGTCAAGTTCTGAGGAACTTGATGGAGAAGTTATGCTATTAGCAACAATAATTTTTGTTAACTAGGAGAAATATGGACAATAAATCTAAAGATGTCTTATGGTATAATAAAGATAACTTACATGAGTTATATATACTCTATACATGAAAAACATTGATATAAATGGGGATCCTAAACTCTATTGGTTATAAGGTGATCAAAGAAGGTAGAGTTTTGAAGGTTGATATGAGAGCTCTTTTGACCATGAAGGGTACATAGAAAAAAAATTAGATTTTCCTGATTGACACATAGTAACTTAAAAGGCATTTGTCTGCACCAGTTCAAATAATGATTCATTTGATACATCACGACTCTAGCATATGCGTTCAGGCATGATGAAAAGGCTCAGTGAAACTTGGTAAGGAAATGTTTACTAAAAGGTGCCAAGCAAACAAAAAAGTAATTTGGGACTGCAATTACTTGTACCAAGGAAAGATTTGACTGCACGCATATTGCTGCATGGGGACCATCTCAAAATGCTTCCTTTAAAGATAATCATTAATTTATTACCTTTATTGATATTTCACAGGCTAAAATTAGATATACACCCTAACGAACAAAGATGAAATTATGGATATCATTCCTAAATGAAAAAAATTATAGAAAGCTAGGCATGCAAAAAAATTATAAAGCTCGGATATGATGATGAAGGGGAATACGAGTTCAATCCACTTCAAATTATTTTTAACATGGAAGAATAATCAGAAACTTTACCATGTAAGGCATACCACAACATAATGGCATAATAAAATAGATGAATCATGCCTTGGGTGATAATGTTTGTGTAAACCATCCCAATCCAAATTCAGCAAGGCATTTTGGGCAAAAGACTTATCATAAGCTAGTTTTAGGCTTTGTTTAAGAGGGTTTTTCCTTTGATAAAAGCTTCTTTAAAAACAACTTAACAATAAATGATAATATAAAGTTGTCATCCTTAAAATGATCCCAGTGTTTTGATAACAAATTTTATGTGCTTTTTAACACAAATATTAATAGATATAGGCGTGTCTCATAAACATATTATTTCAGAATTTAAGAAAATTTAACTTTCAAAAATTTAACTATCATATTAATTTTTAAAATAGTAAAAATTATGATGTGATGTAAGAAAAAAAAAATAATCCTATTTTTTTCCTATTTCCAACTAAGTGATGGAACACTTTGCCCACTGTATAATCATCTTCTTCCTCAAAACTTTTTTTTTAACACTCACTAACTCCATCTCCACTGCCTCTCTTCTCCATTGGAAACTTCCCATGCAGAGCACTCGTCCAGATTGCTTTCATCAAATTTTTACCTTTTCTTCTCACGTGGAGACTGCTCTCATAAATGATCTCCAATTTCTTCTCCTTCATCGTTCTCGCCGGTTAAAGGCGTCGTCCTCGCCCAATAAAGGTATTTTGGAACAATTTTTTTTTCTGAAACAACTTTTCTCTAAAACAATGGAACGCTCCTCAAACCAGTGGAACGGAACTCCTAGATCGCGATCCGAAAATAGAGATAGATGGCGTTCACGTAGAAGCATTTTTGGAGAAGTCGAACGACCAAACAAATGGAAGGCATTCTCTCAGCATTTTCTAGAACAGAACGAAGGCACATCACTCTCTCAAACGAAGTCTTAATATCAATGGACTCCCAAAATCAATTACTAAACGAAAAAACCCTGAAGGAAGTATGGTCTTAAAAACCTATTGTCGACTATGATTGCATACATCAACACACACGCATACACGCACGCGTGCACACACAGAGATATAAAAATGTCTCACATATTTCCATGTAAAGAATAAAAATCACTGATTCCATATATTAGACAAAACAATCACAATCTATTGTTGCAAGTAGATCAAAGATGATTATGCGCATAATAGCTCGTAAAGCTAGCTAAATAGCATATGCTCTTCTAGCGACCAAAGATAATATTCAATATAATTATAAAGAAGTTACACAAAGTGTGGAAAGTACGGAAAATGACGAGTGAAAGATGACCATGGATGAAGAGATGTGATTACTTTCACCATCACTTTAAACAATAGACCCGAGATATCTAAAACATCAACACATTTTAATAATTTGATCACCAATATATATATATATATATAACTAATTGTAGGACACATTATACGAGCCATAGTAAGATTAGTTGTTGATGAGATATT